TTGCTCGTTCACTTCTCATTTTATATTTAGCTGTTCAGTGTTGGAGCTACAGATGAACCTGATTACGCACATCTGTTTCGGTGGAAGCCATAAAAATTTAACAATAATACATACACACATATATTAAAAACATGTTACAGTTGTGCATATGGGTAATTGGGAAATCTTTGAGTATTTGTCTCGGCGTTATGTGTGCGTGTTTTCAACACGAACGTTTTCATCTGTCGCCAAAATACAGTTGTATATGATGCTACACATAGAAACACATGTAAGTACATGTATATTTAAGATAGATACATCTTTAGCTGTGAATAGATAGATAGATAGATAGATAGATAGATAGATAGATAGATAGATAGATATGAATAGGAATAGATATATATGAACAGACAGAGAGATAGCTCGATAGATAGATAGATATGGATAGATATGAACAGACTAAGAAGTCGATAGTTAGATATATAGAAAGAATCACCTGAACATAGATAAATATGGACAGATAGATAGATAGCTATGAATAAATAAATAAATAGATATCTACAGATATAGATAGATATGAATAAATAGATATGTACAGACATAGATAAATAGAGAGAGAGAGAGAGATGAATAAATAAATAGATCGATATGAACAGAGATAGAGATGCAGATATGAATACATAGCTTGATAATATGAATACATATGAATAAATAATAATATTTATGTATGTATATATATATATATATATATATATATATATATATATATAGATATAGATATAGATAGATAGATAGATCCATACATACATATGAACAGATAATGATAGGTAGAAATAGATAGATATGAACAGATAGATATGAATAGACAAATAGAGAAGAATAGATAGATACATACATGCATACATGCATATGAATCGATAGATAGATAGATAGATAGATAGATAGATAGATAGATATGAACAGATAATGATAGATAGATAGATAGATAGATAGATAGATAGATAGATATGAACAGATAATGATAGATAGATAGATAGATAGATAGATAGATAGATAGATAGATAGATAGATACATAGATATGAACAGATAATGATAGGTAGAAATAGATAGATATGAACAGATATATATGAATAAACAGATAGAGAAGAATAGATAGATATATACATGCATATGAACAGATAGATAGATAGATAGATAGATAGATAGATAAATAGATAGATAGATAGATGTAGTACCCAAGTTCTTCTGACATATTTAAGTTAGGAAATAATTCTAAATGAACAATATTAAGTCAATACACATACTAACAGATTATAGATTATATAGGCGCATATGTTTGTGTATGTAGATGAGAGGGGTGTGTGGTGGGGGAATGTATAAGTATAATGTGATTGTCGCTGGAGAGAAGATTGAAATATGGCGCGTAATATTTCACTGATTATTCAATAAGGCAAGGGAAAAATGATGGATTTAAGTCGGCCTAACTTATTTTGCCGCCAACGCACTCCGTAAACCTTTCTGAAACGTTTGACAAAATAAAATTAATCAAATGAAGATCGAATCGTATTTTTCGATTTATTACTTCTTGCGAGTTCCCCAAAATACAGCTGTTTATATTGGCGGGAAGGGCAGAAGGTGGTTGGAAAATGGGTGGATCTTTTATGGCTGACGTGAAAGATTATTGTGGTGTCATTAACATAGACCAAGCAATGAAGGAGTTGACCAAACTGGAAAAACGGTGAAAATTGGTATTGGAAATTTGACAGATCTACATATATATGCTGTCAAGTTATAGATTTATTCTGGCACAAAGCCACGGAAACTGGACACTTAATGAGTATCAAAATCTTTGCAGTGATAATATCCCAGTTAACTTCTTAACCATAACTCCCCACCAAGGTGACAATAAAGGACTGCTTGTTGATGTTTGACGACAAAGGTTGGTTAGTACAACAAAGGGCAGGAAGCTGTACAGAGTCGTAATCGCACACGTCCTGACGGGCACACTTCATAGAAGAAGAGAAGGAGTGTCTTGAACACAGAAGTGTCTTAAGATAGAGGTTTAGTGAATGAGTAGTGAGGTATGAATGTAAGCGAAGTAAATAGGAAGTGAGGTTTATCTCTACCTATAAAAGGCAGGATGTGTGTGTGTGTAACGAATGCACGGCCGCAATTTTCGACGGATTTGCACTAAAATTTACATGCACATGCTCCAAGGTAGCCGCAAGGTCAAGACCGACTTTGCATTTCCCATCAAGAGTGGAAATAATCGATTTTTGCATGCTTCTACGGCAGTTTTCATGTAATTTGCAGCCATTTTGTACTGTCCAGAGTGAGAGCCTATAGCTGGCTGCCACGAATAGGCAGGAAGATTCTCTTGGCCAGCATGAGAGCCGACAGCTGACTGACACGACTGTTAACTAGTAGCAAAAAAAAAAGCTGCATTCGTCACAAATGAGAAAAATTTAAATCTGCATGGCACATTACTCCAATTGGCTCGTTTGCTTGCTTAAACTCAACGTTGATTCTGATTCCGCAGAACAGGGTTGGGTGTGAAAAAGTATTTGTTTTTTAAAGCTGACCGTTTTGTGTTCATTTTGTTTAGTTCTTTTTTTCGTAACAGATTTAATGTTTAGTATAGAGCTTAGAAAATTCGCAGTGTGAGATAGGCAAGAAGTAAGGCATGTAACAACATCAGCACGGCTAAGGGCACTCCTTTAAAGGCAAGGAAGGGCAAAAATATTTTAAGTCATGTGATAGCGATTGCTGTATGCGTCGTACGATTTTTGAATCAAGCACGGGCAACGCCGGGCCATGCTGCTAGTGAGGATATAAATGACAATTAATGATTAGCGAGGCACGGTGGAGTAATGGATAGCGGCTCGGAAGGAGTAATCCATTAATTCACTTGTAATGCTAATACCCTTGGTAAAGGTATGAGTCCTCTTCTTCTCCCCCAGCTATGGGTAAATAGCAGGGCAGATCGTGTTCTACAGCCTTGGATGGCAACTGGTCTACCGCAGAAAGAAATGGCAACCTACTGCAGCAAAAAATCTGCCTCGTTAGTCATGTATCGAAAGATACATGATCGCCTAAGCGTGAATGATTTACCATAGATTTGAAGACGTTATGGTTGTAGTCGAGGAAGATATATTCTCAGTATGATGTTTTAAGTTCAATTTTAGAAAGTGAAATCAACAGCCAGACCGAAATATTCCTCCAATGGAAACAATATAGAAACTATCTCGCTTGTTGGTTATTGTGGCATTTAGAGGTTTCCTTACTTTGTTCGATTTCAGCAGTAGCAGCAAAGGAAGTAATCAGCAGGGAACAACTGGTAGTCCCCAAAACACATAAAAACGCTGGCCGTTCCCTATTTTCCCGCCTTTTCATCCTTTTCAGCGGCAGCTACCTTCAAAGCCGAACTCAGACTACTCAGAACCCTTGCCAGGACACGTGGCCTGCCTTGGTTGCTTGATCTGAGAATTCTCGCTCCTCGTAGAAACAAGTGGAGAAAAAGCGGAGAAATCTCCCTTGGAGGCTCCTACCCAAAGGAAAACTACTCACAATCCTTCCTGCAGAAGACACGTATCAGTCCTAGGAGTTTGGTACTCAGATTTCTCGTTTCTGGAAAATATTTACTCAAGGGAAGGACTTTTTTTTTAACTGGGAAGCTATTTGATTTTTCCGGCAAAAATACCACTATTTTGCACTCTCTTTTCAACCACGAATAAAAGCTGTTGAACAGTTATTTCGAACCTTGGATTTGTTCATTCCACTCTATACACTGCCGAGCACACACCCAGACACACACAAACACACACAAGCAACCGGGGAAATCCCTACAACAACGGTCAAGGGATCATGACCAAAGGGAGTTTTCATGTTGGAGGACATCAGCTGGAAAGGGATAGGCCTCGTCAGGTCGACTTGCCCAAGACATGCTACGTGTGAATGAACTGGGTGGAACGCCGGAGAGGCGTTCCACCCAGATATTTGCAGAGGCTCGGCTGCTCTAAGATCATTGGACTAGTGGTGTTGATGATGATGATGATGATTTAGAAGCGGCCATTTTTATATATTTCAGTAGTATTACCTTCTATTTGGTTATTTTGATCCACGGCATCAGAAGCGGACGTTGATGCTATGGTAGTAGTGGCTGAAATCTCCCCCGAACGAACCTTTTTGTTTTTCTTGGTGACAAATATCTGCCGAGCAACAGTCTGGCAAAATAGTGCTTAAGATTAAAATGCGTACGCAGTCATTGAATTCCTACATGCAAAGAAACTACACCCATCACCACCCACTGAAGCTTTCTGAGTGTTTGTGGAGACCAAACAATGAAAGTGAGCACAGTTAGGACGTGGCTAAGGCATTTTATTATTAGTGTCAATGATGTGAACACGACATGTAGGTTCTGTGTTTCAAGTTGGCCAAATGGCGTAACCAGTGGTGGTGATTAGTTTCTATTTTTTTTTAACGTTAACCAAAAAAAATTTTCAAGAGGAATTAGCGAATGAATAGCGTGATATGAATATAAAAGGATGAAATCGGAAGTGTGGTTTATGAAGATATAAAGGATAAGTAATGATTAACTCAAGATTTAGAAAGGTTAAGATTACATTCAGGAAAGCATACACGCGGGCGTCTACTCCACAAAGTAGCGATTCAAGGGTGAACTTTTACTGTAAAAAGAACGAAGAAAAATCTCGATATATGGATCGAGTATAAAAGAAGATTAGCATATGAGATAATGGAATTGAGCGTAGACTAAGCTGTGCTTGGAATATTTTTGTCCAACATGATTACAAAACCAAAACATGAACCTATGAATTAGATTGTTAAATGTCTCTTCCGTTGTAGACACTCGTATAGATATTATGCATGACATCCAAATCCTTCTAAAATGTCTAAACTATCAACTATATACAACCCAACCGTTTTTTACAGATGAATCTATATATCTTTAATAAAATTAGTCCGTCATACCTTCTAAAATAGCCATACATTGACCGATCTCAACCAAATTTTGGGGTGAATTGAAAACAGTGAATGGTGGTACAAAGAACAGTTGTTTTCCAAGAAACAACCTATTGTTGAAATCAGGAATGTCATTAATGCTATTCTGCAATATAAATCCTCAGAAATGCCTTTGTAATGGAAGAATTTTTACGTTTGACAACCTTATTGACAACAGACTACAAACTGGATAGCTGGCATTAATCCCCAGAATAAAGTTTATTCCTAAACAATCCGAATATCTTTAACGAATGGACAAGAATTCAGTTTCCAGCTCGTCCTTCGTTTACGAGTACTATAAATAAATCATAAGGCCAAACGCTTCATAAAATAGGAATTTGGTTCCTTAAAGAAATTTTTACGCATGCCCGGTTGTATATTGCAATTTCAAGAGTAAAAAATCTTAAGAATATATTCTTCGCTTTTAAAAAAGAAAAAAAAAAAGAATTTTTCTTAAAAATATTGTTTACCATGAGATCCTATAAAATTAAAGAAATTATTAATCCGCGAAGTCGGGTTTTTCTCAAAGTATTTTTTCCGAACAAATCTGCTTTGTCAGATTTCATTGATTGGTTTGCGAAATTGAACGAAACTTAGAGTTTGTAAATCCCGACAAAAATGTTACCGATAACTTCAACAATTCTAAATATTGTGAGGATTTCAAGTTCTAGTGATTGAAAATGGCTTCAAGTAATCCTGTGATTCTTAGGGAAAAATGTACTTCATCAGATTCCACAGATTGGCAATACAGAATAAAAAATAAAGAGCTTAACCAAATAACAAAGTTAGTTATCTGCCATGCGGGATACACGCGTAGGTGATCATGTATCGTTTGATACATGACTGACGAGGCAAATTTTTCCCGCTGTAGGTTGCCATTTCTTTCTGCGGTAGACCAGTTGCTATCCAACGCTCTTGAACCCCGCCTGTCGTGTTATTTACCCATAGCTGGGGAGAGAAGAAAATTATTGGAAAGGTTATTAAAAAGAAATATTTAGCCATGGCAGGTTGTATGTTGCATATTCAAGAGTACGAAATCTGCTTATTTAGCACGTAAGTGAATATAATGGATTTTAATGGAATTCGAACTCGACTCTCCGGTTCGTCAATCTGAGCCGTTATCCATTACACCACCATGCCTCCTACTTACTCCGGTTCTCCTACAATTAACAAATAAAGACTAGATCTAAAAGTAAGAACAACTGAAAATGGATAGAAGATAAAATAAAAGCATAATCATCGTGTTGACATTCAACATGACTTCAAATAAAATGTTAGAAGGGAAATACCCACAAATAATAGAAACAGTAAATATAGTTAGTGGACAAGCGAAACTTATTTTCCTGAAAGGACTGTTTCAAGAGTAAGACTTTCTAAATTCAACCGACAACTGTTCGGTGAATGAATATCGAATGTTTCCTGTGTGGAAAAAGCTAATAGTACCATTACCTTTATCAATTATCGTCATTTTTTATCAATCCAGAAACAAGGGAATAATGCCACTAAGACGCAAATGCTGGGTGTGAAAGAGAATGGAATAAATAAATAATAAAAAAATTTCAGAGTTCAGACGTAGACGTTAGAAGTATAGAGATGAAGTAGACTTTAGCAGGAACTCGGAACCCATTCCTGAACACATAAACAAGGGATAAATCTCCACTAGTGTTCAAAAGACCTGGAAGGAGTGTAAACCGGATGACAGGCGAACCTATCAACTGTTACTGAATTGTGCTCACAATAAAATGCTTTTGATATATTGTGCGATATTTGAGGATACTTTTATGCAAAGGGCAATAGTTTAGACAATGAAGAGATTGACTTTTAGAAAACCTTTAACATGATGACTAGAAAGCTGTCTGAAATCATAAGGAAAAAACTGATTGTTATCACCAAAATATCTGTACCCGTAAAAATTGATAAAACCTAGAACCCTTTTTTTTTAAATACATGAAGCCTGCTCCGATCATAATGTTTCTTATCTTCAAGGAAAACTTTATACTATTATTATTTATAATTTTTGTACATCAAAAAAGTTATCAAACAAGAAATTAAAAAATGAAATGCTTTCGAAACTTTTAAGGTCGAGTCGTGCATTTCTTTAGAATATTTGCATAAAATCATATTTGGAGTCTAGATCTGTAAAAAAAAAAAACACTGTAATATCAACAACGAGACTATGACCAATATATCTATAAAACAATAGATATTTACATGATTTTCTTTTATCGCTTGCCGCATCACTTCAGGACGTGGGTGATCATGGCTCTTTACAACTTCCTATCCTTCGTAGCTTTAAGTAACTTTTATCTCCTCACTATCCCTTCCAAGTCCTGTTCTGTCATACATTGTCTTAAATAAGTCTATCATTCGCCCTTGCTTTGAATATTGCCGCTGCATCTGGTCTGGTGCTCCTGATATATATTTCGAGGTTTTTTTATAAAATCCAAAGATGAAACTGCAATGTTATTGGTTCTGACCTGGCATCTCGCATTCAATCTCTTTCCCACCGCTATAACGTAACTTTCCTGTGCCTATAAATATTTTCATGGGAATTGTTCGGATGAACTTTCTTTTTTGGTAACTAGTCTTTATGAATTTAAGCGCAGTACTAGATTGGAAAGAAAGATCTCATCATTTTACTATTGAAATGTCTATATGTAACCGTAAGTTCTATGCTAAGAGTTTCTTCTATCACACTTCTTGCTTGTGGAACTGTCTTCAAGTTTCTTGCTTCCCAATCAACTTTGATCTTCAAGAATTTAAATGCAATGTCAATCGTTATCATATGCCTTTTTCATTTTTGTTCTGTTATTGTTCTCTCTCTTTGATAGACTTTTCTGTCTCATATTTTCTAACACTCAGTAACCTCTTGCGTCTTAGTGGCTTTATTGCTTTCCTCGGGGGTGAAATGATTAAAAATCGCTTGTTAGGTTACTCGCTGATTCCCTCTACTCTTCTTTTCTTCAAAATGTTTTGTGAGTGCCAAATTCTCTAAGCCTTCCTTCCTTATTATGAATCTCAGGAATTTCAATTGTCTCTTTCCGGTTCTAAGTGTCTTTTTTGTCCCCAATTATTTATTGCTCATGATATTACCAGCATCATTTTGTTGAACCATATTTCCATTTCCTCAAGATTCTTCTTCATCTCTCATGAGATTTTCCAGCATCCACTGCCATAATGGAGGATCTGTATTACATAACAGCTCAGCACTTTCTCAAGAAATTTTCTTCTTTCTTTTTTTTCTTTCTTTTCAAAAATCTAAGTCCTATCATTATTATTGTTAATAGCGAATTTGGCAGCGTTTGTTCACCAGATACTTGGCACAGCTAACTCAGAGATATTTTGGTTCAATAATGTGACAGCTCTTTCTTCAATACCTAATCATAAACAGCTGTTGAGGAAAATGGAGTCAAAGTCAAACATAAAGAAAAAGAATTGCGAAAAATTTGATAAAATGTTTTAGTTTCTATTTTCTCAGCTTTTCATCATTATTTCTTCTTTTTTACCTTTAACCTCATGAACTGAATCCGTAATATATTACATTATAATATCTCGAATCACCGCTTTATGAGCTCTTGGATTTTTATTATTATTATATATTTTATTTTATTATTATTATTATTATTATTATTATTATTTTTTTTTGACTTCTGGTGTTTACACATTTCTTTCCGGGTCCCGCCCAGGGACCTAAGGTTAGAAATGGTATCATGACACTTTCCACTGACAAAAAAAAACAAAAAATAGATAGATAAAGCCCTTCGTAAAGTGTGAGCTGTACTTGTCAGAACAATTTTTTGTATCTCTTTGAGGCATGGACTTCCAGGAATCCCTTCAATTAATCTATTGGAATCTTCTCCAACCAATCCTAGGGCTCCAACTACAACAGGGATTGTTGATGTTACCATATGCCACATTTTTTAGATTTCTATGTCAAGGTCCTCGTATTTTGACAGCTTTTTGAATATCTTCAAAGATAGATTGCAGTCAGCGGGGACTGCCATATCAATAAGGAGGCACCGTTTTTATTATTATTATTATTTTCGTTCGCACGGCTTTCGTTTACAGCCAGAGATCTTGCATTATGGGTGTTCTCCCTCTAATCGTACGACCTTAAACAGATAGCACCACCCGAATAATATTTGCAGTGCCAAGCAAGGCGGACATCTGAAGATAGAGCATACTTAGATTTATTTTGGTCTTCTCGGTGTAGGTTTTTTAGTTCGATGGTACAGACCGCAACGCCCCATTGATAGCATATTTACACAGTCAATCAAAAGCCATGAATGTCATGCCCAGTAGATCAAGAGATTAGTTTTATTATTATTCGCTGGCCCTCCGTTAGTTAATAAGTTAGTTAACACGAATTTTACGCCAAACCATTACCTCACACTTATTCTGTTTTGATTGCGATTAAGGACAGTAGGAAAATATATATTGCGGATTCCGAGATGAAATTCGGTCTCCAATGAATGACAAACGCAGGAATGAAATATAACAAATAAATGTATTTACACAATAATACAATTGGTAATACTGTTAGCAAATCCAGAAACGTGGTTAGTAGCAATACTAATATATATACACAGTCTGGTAAATCCAGTCTCGAAGTAGGACTTCCTTAGAGTCTACGTGCTTATAACTGTGACTTCTACAAGCGGTTACCTCACACTATTACTCTACCTCCAACACAATCACCATCTCTCCGTCTCTCTACTCTGACTGACTCTGGGTATTTAACGGCAGCAGTTCAAGTACACACTGGTCGAGTCCACTTGTATGAAAAAGGGGTGGACCCCATAACAATATATATAAGACAATCTGGTCTTAAAGAGAAGAAAAGATAAAAGCATACGTAATAAAGAAAAAAAAGAAAAAAAAGAAAAAAAAAGAAAAAGAAAAAAAAGAAAAAAAAGAAAACAAAGAAAACAAAGAAAACAAAGAAAGAAAGAAAGAAGTGAGGAGATAGGGTAGGCCATAACGCTCTGATGAGTGTAAAGTCTGTTTAACCGAAATGAAAAACATTGTCAATTTGCAATCTTTTTCTTTTATATGCTCCTATTTCTTAAAAGAATAACCCATGATTGTTATTGCAATATTTTTTAAATTGTTATCCTCAGATATTTTACGATGAAACAGGAATGTTCTACGGGTATTTTATAGTCGTGGAACTTATCTAATCATTGAATCAAGAATTATGATTCATCAACCAATGCAAATAGGAAAACCGTGCTATTACTACAGGCACTGTTAGATTGTTTTTGTTATTATTATTATTATTATTATTATTATTATTATTATTATCAGCATCATTATATTTCATTTTTGCTACGGTCACATTTCCTACCAAGTCTGCCGGAAGACCTAAGGCAGGTAATGGTGTGTTGTCATAGCTACATTTCATGATTTGTTTTCTAATTCCCATAATATCTCTAGCGTTACAGAAACAAAATTCTTAGTATTTTAGCTGTAATTATGAAGAAAAAATTTTTGTATTTCTCTTAAGCTTGGATTTTCAGGAATTTTTTTCAATGTGCTGTTGTGTTTCTATTTTATCATTCCAAGCGCACCTACACTGAGTTGTACTATTCTTGTTTTCAATTCCCACATTTATTCTATTTCGATTTCCAGGTCTTTATACTTCGATAGTTTTTTTTTGTTTTTAATTCCTTCGTTGCTATGTTACAATCAGCTGGGAAAGCCATATCAATTAGTGGGCAAGTTTATTTCACCTCGGTTTTTGACAATTATGTCCGGCCTATTTCATTCAAACTTCTTGTCTGTAAAAATGGTGGAATCTCATAGAATTGTGATTTCTTCAATTTCTGTAATTGGTGCTGGGTTTTGTTCATACCATCATTTATTAACATCTTTTCCAAAGTCTTTGCATATTCTCCAGGTTAAGTATTGTTCCACTTTATAGTGGCGATTTCTATATTCGTATGGAGCAAATACAGAACATCCTGAGACTAAATGGTCTATGGTTTCCTGATATTTGTCCCATAACCTGCATTTTGGATCCTCACTATTATGTATGATATTTGCCTGAAAGTTTCTATTGAAAATCATTATCTGGTCTTGTTCATCATTATTATTATTGCATCATTATTATTATTATTATTATTATTATTATTATTATTATTATTATTATTATTATTATTATTTATTATCATCACCATCATCACATCTCATCATCATCATCAAGTCTGCGTGGAAAGACCTACCAGGCAAAAGACTAAAGGTCGTGGTTGTTATTTTTTTTCATTTAATTTTTTTTTTTTTTTTTTTTTTCTCCGATGAAGTTGCTAGCGTTACATAGACAAAGTTCTCCTTAGTGTGTGTGCTGTACTTAATAAGACAATTTTCTGTATGTCTCTTAAGCTGGGGGTTTCCAGGATTCTTTCAATGTGTTGTTTTTGTTCCATTTTTTATAATTCCAAGTGCACCTATTACCACTGGTATTATTCTTGTTTTCAATTTCCACATTTTTTCTATTTCAATTTCCAGGTCTTTGTATTTTGATAGTTTTCAAATTCCTTGGTTGCTATGTTACAATCCGCTGGACAAGCCATATCAATTAGTAGGCAAGTTTTTTCTTTCTGGTTTTTGACAATAATGTCCGGCCTATTTGCTTCAATTTTTTCTGTCTGTGTGGATGGTATAATCCCATAGAATGGTGACATCTTCTATTTCTGTAACCGGCGCTGGCCGATGTTCATACTTTCAGTGTTTGCTTACATTTTCCAAAGTGTTTGCACATTGTCCAGTGTAAGTATTGCCCCACCTATCGTGACGATTTTTATATTCATTTGGGGCAAGTATAGAACATCCTGAGATTAGATGGTCTATTGTTTCTTGGTATTTGTCACAGAACCTGCATTTTGGATCCACATTATTATGTATGATATTTGCCTGAAAATTCCTAGTGAAAAGACTCTGGTCTTGCGCTGCAAGAATAAAGCCTTCAGTTTCAGACTTTAATCCAGATGCTCGTAACCATCGATGAGTATTAACTTTATCAACATTGGGTTTATTTGCACGTTCTGGATATTGGCCATGCAGAGGTTTGTCTTGCCAGCGTTGTTTCATCTGTTCAAGGCTTTATCCTTGGCTTTCTTTTTCATATCTTTTGCTGCAATAGTTGGTTCTTGGCTTCTGTTTTGATTTACTACAGAATCTACTAAATGTAAATGTTGTTTTGTATTTACTGCCTTCTTTTATTATTGAATATTTTTTCTTTCTGTTTTTTCATGTTGTTTCACTAATTTTATCATCCAGTCATTTGTTGTTTCCATGTAAGTTAGTAAGCCAATAGTTGTTGTCTTGTATGACAATTCTAGCTGAATAAGACCTCTTCCACCTTCTTTACGGGGTATGTATAGACGGTCTACATCAGCCTTTGGATGATGCATCTTATACTTTTAGAAAGAAGCTTTCTTGTTTTAGAATCCATTTGTCTGATGTCATTTAGAGTCCAGTTCAAGATGTTGAAACTATATTGGACCACTGGGATGGCAAGGTTATTAATGGCCATAATTCTGTTCTGAGAATTCAATTCAGTTTTAATACCAGTCGTACCCTTCTATAGTACTCTTTACGCACTATTTCTTTCATTTTCTTATGGTGAATTCCTTCACTCTCATTTACACCTAGGTACTTATAAGCTTCTCCTTGTTCTAAATCTTTTTATTGTTACAGCAGGGTCTAAACTAATAGAGGAAGTTTGTTGTAGCGATCCTCCTCGTAAAACTGTAGCTTTAGCACATTTATCCAAATTGAATTTCATTCCAATGTCTTCACTGAAGCATTTTACAGTTTGCAGAAGACCTTCCAGCTCATTGTCATTCCTAGCATACAATTTTAAGTCATCCATGTAAAATAGATGGTTTATTTTCTTTTGAGCTATTTTTAAACCGCATTCTGTCTTGTTAAGTTGGCTGGTTAATGCTATAAGTGATATGCAAAATAATAAAGGAGACAAAGAGTCACCTTTGAAATATTCCTCTATTGATGTTTATTTCGCCAGACTTATAGGTTCCATTTTTATGATTGAGGTAAAGTGTACATTGTTTTTTATTATTCATACATTGTTTGATCCAGAATTTATTATTATCCAGGCATTAATATCCTATTATTATTATTATTCATTTTCTTTCCAAGAAGAAATTGTCTGTTTTGTTATTAGATGGTTTACTTATGTTGTTAAAGACATGTAATTATAGTTTTATTTACGATTATTATCATCATCCCATCATATTAATATTATTATTATTATTATTATTTTCTATTGTATTGTTGTTGTTGTTACGGTTATTAATTATTTGATCATTTTCATTATAATGATTATTAAAATTATTTTGGGATTATTATTATCATCATTTCACGCAGATTAAATTTTTTTTTTTTTTTTTTTTTTTCTTGGAGAAAACATGAATTCTTTCGGAAAGAAATAAAATTTGTGGTCTGTGTCTTAAAAGAAAACAACATTAAGAGAACTTTCACTAACATGATAATCAGCATTTAAATTTTTTTTTTTTTTTTTATCAACTTTCCGATATTTGGTGTTTATATGATTATTTTTTTCCCTGATAAACAAAACATTCTCCTAAATAAATAAATAAACGAAATGGGCGACGGATGAAAATGGTCATTAAAATACCGATAGAACAATCCATCTTCTTGGGTCCATTTTTTTCTTTTTAACTATCGATATAGACTGGGTTCTTCCTGTATTTTTCAATGTGGTTCCATTTTTTTCCTTAGTTTTTTCAAATTCCAAGTGCACCTATATAATTACCTGTCCAGAAGGAGGTGGCATATATAATATAATTTTGTTGCTTCATGATCTCTCTGCCATTTCCCAAACGGATTTGTTAAAAAAATATAATTTTTCTTGTGTCAGTAAAAAAAATTCTTATTTTCATTTTTTTTTTTTCTTTTTCCTTCTTTTTTTTCTTTTTTTGGTATATTTTAGAATCCTAAATTTTCTTCTTTCTTTTTTTCTAAATTTTCTCCTTTTTTTTTTTCAAATTTTTCTTTCTTTTTTTTTTCTAATTTTCTTTCTTTTTTTTTCTAAATTTTCTTCTTTTCTTTTTTTCGTTTTTTTTCTAAATTTTCTTTTTTCTTTTTTTTCTAAATCACTTTGGATTTTCTTCTTTCAGTTTTCGGCTTCTTTTTTTTTTTCTACTTCTTTTTTCTAAATTTTCTTCTTTCTTTTTTTTTCAATTTTCTTCTTTCTTTTTTTCTAAATTTCTTCTTTCTTTTTTTTCGAAATTTTCTATTTCTTTTTTTCAAGTTTTCTTCTTTCCTTCTTTCTTTTTTTCTAAATGGTCTTTCTTTTTTCTTTTTCTTCTTTTTTTTTTCTCACAGAACCTTTCTTTTTTTTTTTCTTTTCTTCTTTCTTTTTTTATTTTTCTTCTTTTTTTTTTCTGAAAATTTTTCTAGTTTTTCTTTCTTTTTTTCTTCTTGCTTTTTTCTAAATTTTTCTTCTTTCTTTTTTTAGATTTTCTTCTTTCTTTTTTTTCAAATTAACGATTTTTTTCAACATTGGCTTTTTTTTTCTGATTTTCTTCTTTCTTTTTTTTAGAGGTTTGTCTTTCTTTTTCTAAATTTTTCTTTGTTTCATCTGTTTTTCAAAATTTTTTATTCTTTTTTTTTTCTTTTCATATTTTTTTTGCAATAGTTTTTTCTTTTCTAAATTTTTTTTCTTTTTTTTTTTCTAAGAATTCTTTCTTTCTTTTTTTTTCTAAAGTTTCTTCTTTTTTTGTAAATGTTTTTTTTCTATTTTCTGCCTTTTTTCTAATTTTTCTTTTTTTTTTTTCTAATTTTTTTTTTTCTTCTTTTTTTTTTCTATGTTCTTTTTTTTTTTTTTGCACTAATTTTCTAAATTTCCAAATTTTCTATTTTCTTTTTTCTTTTTTTTCTTAGTTTTTTTTTAAATTTTCTCTTTCTTTTTTTTTCTAATTTTCTTCTTTTTTTTTTTCAATTTCTTCTTTCTTTTT